AACCAGGACTAAACGAGCAACCCACCGACACTTTGTAATGCGCACCGACACTTGATGAGACCAATGCAGTTAATCGCTTGCCCTGGGGGCGTCATATCGAGTGTTCCATTGGCGAAGACTGACACAGAGGGCCAACCATAACCGTCGGCCGTCCCTAGGTAACCACGACGGCAATTGATCGGCGATGTCCCACTCGTGACTGGGCCCAGTTTCCACGCCTGATTGCAGGCCCGCTTCCGCCCGGCCCGGCGCCGCTGTCCATTGACCACCGTACCTCGTCCGTACGGCGCCTGTTATACGGCTCGGTATCAGCCGTGTAATGGACAGCACACAGGTCTGTGATCGACTGTCCGCCGCGCGCCACATCCGTCCATTGCGGCACGGACGGTGTTCAGTGTGCAAGGGTGCGATTTCGTCCACCTCCTGGTATTTAAAGGCGTGAAAATTGCGAGTACTTACATTTGATGTTCCCTGCAGCGATCATTCTACCATCGAAAGAAACTAGACACCATGCCGGGCCTTTGTCCAAGATACTTTATTGTAAATACAGATCAGATTGCATCTGTACCGTTTAAGATCAGTCATTCCATTCCCCTCCGTGCCCTTACTTCTGTCAGAGACCGTCATTTTCATCTTTCATCTGTTCCACCATTCGCCTCCGTGCAGGTTTGCCCTCGCAGTTTTCGTGGACTGTGGCTCCCCTGTGAGCTACCCACTCCCTCCCTCCAGTCTGTCCAAGTCGACAAGTCATCATGACTTGTTGGTTGTGACGCTGCTCGCTAATATCATATCGAGCCCGATGACTGTCACAATGCCAGTCGCTCACTATAGCGTACTTCAGGGTGGCGTTTCACGGCGACGACTGTACACTATTTTAGCGCTTCAGCGCGCTTGTGTCCCTATCTGCTGTCCAAAGCGGAGCGTCCGGCGCAGTAAACCCCACCGCGTCGCCACCCGCACCGTGTCCCACGAGACGGCCGATTTTCCGATGGTGCAGTGTACGAAAACAGCCAGGGTAATGGGCCCTGATGGCTGACAATCATCCGGCGTTTATACGGCACCGCCGGCCGATCCAGCGACGCGCTGCGAGCTGTTTTGCTTCCCCTGCACCGGACGCGGTGTGGCACAAATCCCGTCAAACGCTCAGTACCTACACGGACGCGTATACATACATTCAGTGACTGCCGAGGCCGACGCGTGCGAAGAAGTTTTGTTATTAGTACCTTTGAAGGAACCTCAGTTCAACTGCGCTAATGCGACAGTATGCAAAGAGAAGTTGTTATCAGGTGCTGTATCGTTCTAGCTTCACTTTGTGGAATCACTTAAAAATAAAAGAAGCATGGGGTGGTGTGTTCGAATGCGCAGAGCTCTAGCAGCTTCCAAATATTTATCGTTTTCATTTATATGAAAGGTATGCTATTACGTTATTTGCTACGGTCGACTATTTGCATTATGCTACAGGCACACTGATGTTAATTTATCGGTGTGCTATTAAACCTCAGCATTTTATAAATTGGTTGCGATAGAAGTTGCGTAAAGGGTAGTGATAGGAGACTGTTTTGCATAGGATGTGATGAAACGGGATGTCATTAGCATATTATAACCTTTCATATTTGTCCAGATTAAATGTTCAGTACTCGTTTCTTCCCGAAACATTTTTGCATAATTTCATTCCATTAGAAACCATTTGCAAGCAGGGAGTGCTCTCAGAATAAATGACTCACTTGTGCAGTGTACCTGGGCAATGCAATTACTGTGAATCGAACATTACTCTGATGAGGTATTCGCTGTAAGTGAACGCTACATTCGGGTTCCTACACGCAACTGGTGTACATTCGTACCAAGGCGTTCACATCGTATGCAAATGTGAATATATTACTGGAACGTACCTACCTGGCAGGCCTCCGAGACCTTGATGCTATTTTATTTATATCAATTAAGTGGGAGTAGTTAACCAGTTTGTGCACTGCCCTTTTACACCATGGCAGAGTCATGGTTGCAATCCTTGCACGGCAAAGACCCGTGCAATGCCGGGCTATGGGGATTGCCCAACTCTCGCCCACTCATCACTTAGTCGCGCTAATAGCCATTTCGCTGATCGGACATCAGTGATCGCCTCTCACGGACATGTCTTGCTCAATGCTGCCCTGAGCACTTAGCCGTTCAATCTGTGTACGTTAATGGCGCCACTCCCATGGACACTGGAGCCACTGACGCCATTCATCTTCACCTCGATACACTTCTCTCGGCGAGAGAGCGCGCCACTCCGGGCGAAGCCGCTCCGCGCTCCCCTCCGCCCGGCCTCTTAGCCATGCAGAGATGAGACGGACGATTGGGGATACGATCGGAGCGCGGGGGACGCTGCAATCGGAACGGGGCGGGCCGCCACCCGCAGAGGGGCAGCGCAGGCGACCGGCGAAATACTCGGCCGACAGATCGACTAAGTGCATACCCATGGAATGCCATGAGGCAGGGCGGAGTTTGGTAGTTATCGGCGCCGGAACGGGAGATGCAGCCGAGCCGGCTCCCGCTGGGTGTGGGTTTTTACAGCGTTCCGATTGTAATTTATTGTTAATTGGTACGGTAAACGTGTCCAATTTCTTCGGCGACTGCAGCGTCCATTCGTATAGATGTAACGCCCATGCTGCGCGATTGGGTATATTCGTGAGACGAGATAAATCGTGGAGAATGGGTGCACGTTGATATAGCTTAGCATTCCTGGCTGGCTCACCGCTTGTTCTTCATCTTGCTATTAAAATTGCGGACATTCTCTTTATTGATCTCTAAAAAACAACACTTCAATGACGGATCAAAGAGATAACAAATAGCGACATAGCCAAACCCGTTTACAACTAAAAGACGCCAGTTTTCATTGCAGCTTGCCGCGCTCTCGTCCGCACCAATTCTGCGCGGCACACGGGTAAACCCTCCGGCCCCATCAGCCTCCCTGCGCTACCCCATCGCCGGGCCTCCACGGGGCGCGTCGGCGACTCGTTTGCTTATTCCGTCCATTGCACACTGTGTTCCCTCCCGGGCCGGTCGTATTAGTCGGCCAGGTAATGATGTCACTGTAGGTGTCGGCTCAATAGCGGGCCGGCATCATTCACCGGCCGACGGCCCGCGGCCATTCAGTCTAATGATCCCGTGCCGAACTACTTTGGGCCGCCGGCCGCGCCCCAATCGTTACATTACCCGGGCCGGCGGGGGACGGGGGACGAGGCGGGCCGGTCAGCCGGGGGTGAGACGGGACTCCGAGTGGGTGCCGGTGGGGAACACCGGTGGGAGCGGGTGGGAACGAGTCCCGCACGTGTCTGGTCCAAACACCTGTCGGCGAGAGGGCGACGTTTGCTCGCCGTTTTGTGCACGTCTGTCGCCGGTGTTAACGCAGAAAAGCACTCGCCGGTGAGCGGACAACGGGGAACGGAACCGGTGTGCAGATCGGTGTTCGGACGGAAAAGTAGCTCCAGATTGGAGAATAAAGATGGGTCAGTTCGTGTTGAAGTCCTGTTTCTAGAGATGAGGTACTTTTTTGTATGCATGTCCAGTATCCGCTGTGTAGAGCCCTAGGAACAACAAAATGTGTGCACGTGTATGCAAAAGGATGTTTAGTGTGAAGTTGATAAATTATCGCCTTTTTATGGACGCTTTCGAAGAGTATAACGGACCCTGCATCGGGTGATATTGCCAACTGTAAAGCTCACCACGCATAATTATGTCTACTACTTGGCATGATCGACTTTTTCCCTGAGAACACACTGTTGCCTCACGTTTTTCCTCGTAATTCCTGGACGGAGGCTTACTCACTCGCTTCGTGGAAGGATTGTCAAGATAATCAGTAGCTTAGGCGGCGTGCCTGAGCGTCCACCGCACTACTCGGCCCCGTCACATTAGCACGTGACTCCCGTGCACGTGACCCGTCTCACGGCAACAGCACACACTGAGCACTGTGCATGTGCACTCAGTGCACAGCGCGGCGTGCACCGATGCACAGTGAGCGGCCCCGATCGGGCGATACCGGCCGGAAATCCGCCCATTCCGCCCCACGGCACTCCGGAGGGGGGCCCGACACGGTACAGAACCTCAGTGCCAGTGAACGCCATCCTTGGGGTAGGGACTAGGGTAATGGTACAGGCCAAGTAAAAAGGGACAAAATACAGACAAGCGTCAACTAAAGCTGGACGCTGCGGGTAGCGCTCTGGGCTGGCCCGCTGAGCGTTGCAACAGGGTACAATGAAACTCTAAGATGAGCCATTTATTGTTACCGAGACGCGGCTCTAAACCCAGTGAGGGGTCGACCGCCCCAGTTCATGTAGCCCCAACTCATGTGCGCAGAAGCCCTTTGCAGTCAGTGCCGAGCGGCGGCCGTCAGTCAGTCGGCACCCCCGTCAGCGGCCGGCCGGACCGTTAGCAGGACAGGGCAGCGGCGTGGCGTTCAGCCCGCTGACGGCGGCGGGCGGCCGTTTCAGTCGTGCCGGCCGCTGTTTCAGCGCGGTCTGTACACTGTACAGGTGTTCGGCCCGCCGCGACACACGGTGACACACACGTGTCCTGCGCGTGCCGCCTGCCCGGCCGGCCCACGTGGCCACCGAGACCGGCCACGCGGAGGGAATGCCCCCCCCCCCCCCAGCTGTGACCCGCCAGACCAGACCCTCGTCGGGTTTGCACTCATCTGTCCGATGCTTTACGAGTACTATGACTCTGGCTCGCACACTGACTTACTCCGTGTCTCCAACTGAGCTCGCTCCCTCTCCTGTGTCTGACTTCCCTGTGGCCACTGCAGGACCTGTGTGAGGCCTGACTTCACCGCCCCTGTATCTCACAGAGGATACAGCGGGGTCTGCTTGAGACTCCAACTGACCCGTTCTTTCCTCTGTGCCTCACATAATTTTCAGCCACTGGGACATGGCTGATCTCACCTTCCTGTGTCTTTCACAGGATGTTCGGCCACTGCGGGATCCGTGTGAGGCCCATACTGACCCCACCATCTCCCTGTTTCACAGAATGTTCGGCCACTGCGGAGTGTGCGCCGCCTGCGGTGTCGGCATCCCGGCCTCCGAGTTTGTGATGCGGATCGGCGGCGGCCTGGTGTATCACATACGCTGCTTCTCGTGCTCCAAGTGTAACGCGGCGCTGTCGCGCGGCGACCGCTACCTGCTGGTCAACGGCGCGCCCGTCTGCGAACAGGACGCCAACAAACTGTTCCCGCCGCCCGTCAAAAAGGGAAAGGTCGGCAGGCCGCGGCGACAACGCGACTAGCCAGGTCAGTTAAGGATAGGAGAGGAGAGGGTGGTCAGGCGCGGGCTGGACCAGACAAATCAACAACAAAAACGTTCTTTTTTACCTAAGAGTTAATGGTTTTTGAATATTATTTCTCTGTGAATTTCATTTTGCCATATAGTTAAATTAAAGAGTAAATCGTTTGCGCAGTTTAGTACGCTGTCCGACAATCGGACAAGTTTTCTTTCCTTCGAAAAAAAAAAGACAAACTGGCACCACCATTTTGATCAACTTAGTTTTGAACAGGATGTTCCTCATTGTTATTTATCCCAGCTAATGTGCACCGCGAACCAAACAGACAGGAAACAGACAGGGCGAGACAGAATTACTCGTTCGCAAATGCCGTGCTAAAAAAGCAAACAGAATGAAGGACCGGCAGCGATTTATCTGGCAGCTATGTCACTGACTTTAGTCTCCCAGTGTCTTCTATTACATCTCCTATCGCCTGGTCCGTCTGTCCCGCAATCAGCCGCATTGCCATAATATGGGAGAAGCGAGACCGCACACCAGCCTCCATATACCACCGCGACCCGACCCCAGCGCTGTCGCTGCGCCGTGGACACCAGCCGCCAGACCCACTATATGTATAAAACAATTCAATATTCATGATGCTTTTACACATATTAGATGGTCGGGTGGGCGGTGGCGGCGGCTGCCGTCGAGCAATTTGTAAATACATCCCCTAATTTCGTGTACCATCTGTTCATAGCCAAACTCTGCGGTGCAATCAGAATAAAAGCCACTCGTGGCGCTGATACCCATCTAGGTAATGGAAGCACAATTGAATTTAACGTTTTATTGGTCCTCACGGGAGCCCGGCTTTATTTAGTTAATGGGTTAGCCTGCATTATAGCGTCGTTATAAGGCGAAATCATTGAATTATACAGACGAATGTCCAGAGGAGTGGCGCGGCGCACCTGCCGCCGACGCTGGCTCACGGATTGGCTCACGGAGCTAGCTGCTGAGCTAACCGGCCGGCCGGAAGATGGCTCATGGGATGAGTGCCACGGCGGGGCTGCCGGCGACTCGGAGCTCGGAGGTTCGGCGTGGTACGAAGCTGGAGTCGGGTAGGAGATTTAGGTGTCACCGTGAAGTCACGGTGGAGTTGAGGAAATCACGAATCACGGTGGATGTCAGTAGCTCTTGATTTTGAGCTTTGAGCGTATTCTCTCAAGAGTGACCGATGGATATACCGATGGATATCACGGATGTCACGGATGTCGCGGACGTCACGATCACGGCAGGAGCTAAGAGATCCCGAAGAACGTTGTCTCCGAAGATGTTGGATATTTTACAGATGTCACGGTATGACTTTGGAATTTGGATGCCGGTAGCAATGGGAATACCAGGAAGGCGCCTAAATATGTCAAAGAAGGTGTAGAAATTAAGGCGTGACCGAGATCGCATTTGAATATTTGATACATCTAATCTCAGCTGTCACGAAGATTGTTGGTGCAGATTGAACTTCTCATGGAGTTAATTGGTCTTCCAGAAACAGCACGAATTATTAAGTTTATTTTTTTATATGTCAGTTTAGCTATATGATAAAATAACTAAACTACTATTGAAATCACAGGATTATACGTTCGTTGTAAGAGTGGTTTCCCAATCAGACAGGTCGTCACACGATGGCAGCGGTGTTCATTCTCAGCTGATGCAGACGTCTGCTTTCACACCATTAGAGTTGTGGTGACGAGACAGCGCGCTGTCGAAGCGGGATTATCCGCTGTTACTTGTCAATGACAGCGTTCTCACATATTGGTACTGCCATTATGACACTGATGAAAATGTAGTACACAGGTGGCGGGTAAATCCGATAAATCATGCGTAAATCCCTGCTTATCGTCGAATGTCGGACGTGCTCTGAAGCGCCCACGTCGCACAACCGCTCGCGCTGTATGGAAGTTTCAAAGTACGTGCATTGCCTCAGAGTTTTACCGTTTGCGACGAGTCGGGTCAAGGAAGTTGCGAGTGGGCCAGGTCGAGCGGAAGTCGCACTGGTGAAATCAGTTCGGGGGGGGGGGGCAATCAACTCATGTGATGATTTTATTTAAAGCAGATTAATGGGGTAAAATGAAAGAGCCAATCATTTAAAATTTCTGTTTCCAAACCTGGAATGCATTTCTGCTTCAATGAGTCAGTAATCATTTTGTATTTTGACGGAATCATTGACCTTAATTATTTATTGGTATTTTAGGGAGCGGGCCTTTAAAAAGCCACACAAAACAGATGCAGACCACCACGGCTTTCAGGATACCGTTCTATCAACGATGTAAGAAATATCTGCTACCACAGATAACAGTAGTACCTACTGGATTGGAAACAGGATTCCGGTGGCTGCAGTAAGAGGCCGAAAACAGAACCGAATATTTCGTGCCTAGACTTCGATATCTCCTCTCACAGGCAAAAAAAAAAAAATTGGTTTATGTGAATGAAACTTATAAAGAAGCAATCTAGCCGTGCTCGTGTTTATTGTTGCATTTTTGCATAATGGCAACTTATTTTACTAAACGTTGCTGCACTTTCCTCACCGTAGTGAGGGAACGTATGCCACTGATTTGATTATAATGATTCCTCACTCTCATCCACAAAAAGCACGTTTACATGGGAGTTTGCTCTCTTTATTTACATGCTCATCGACACCAGTCCTGTCACAACGAGCCATCCAAACGTCACAATTCAAACCAACGTCACAAAACACCCCTTCAAGTGTCACTTCGCTTCGCCTGCCCTCCCAATTTCATCAGCGACCTTACTTCCCCGCCTTACATCTTCTTGACCCTGCTGAACTTTGGCCTCTTGTCGCTCCTCGATCGGGTTGCACCAGTGGCTGGGGTGTCTGCTTCCTGACTTTCGATGGACAGCACTGTCTTGAGTGTCTGCCTCACTTATCAGTTGCCATGTTTCCACACTTTCCAGCAAATAGATTGAAAACCGTCGCATACATCTCTGGAAGGAGGCTCCTAAGGACGTCGTGGCTATGATTGCAAACGAGTTCCGGTCAGTTCGACATCCCGTTTTACGACTATCTTCGTCACTTCTTGGTTGATCGCAGACCAGCAGCTGGTTCCTGTTAGCTTCCGTCTTCGGCAGTTGCCTCCAAATATGGCAGATCCTCACGGTGAGGTCGATGTCTTCCTCGTCTTTCTCCAGTCGTACCTCCAGCGGCGTAACCCCATGATAGATCAGCACGCTGGCGGAGGCAACGTTACTTGTCACGCCTGGTGGCCGAGCGTGCCAAGGCGCCGGAGCTGTGTCCCAGGGAGGCCTTGGCGCTGTCATCCAGGTCCTCCATTTCAGTGGATTTCGCCACCGCGGCCACTAGCTCCTGGATGACAAGAGCACCATCCTGCTGTCACTCCTGCTGTGATGGTGCCATTCGGGCGGAGGCGTCGGCGGGGCTGAAACGTGACCAGTGACCACCATCTGAGGCCCTTAATTCGACTTTGGAGTACCGCCTCATTCTCCGGGAACTTTCGGACACTCGACCAGTTGTAGTTGCCACCTGATAGCTGATATTGTCATTCGTGAAGAACGCATCGGTCTGGCCCTTCATAACCTGCTTCTGGTGTGAGTGGCGTGCGGATGCCATGGCTGGTTTCGCTGGCCGCTCGTGCACAGGGGGCATCGCGTGATCCACGCTGGTTAATACTGACAGGACTGCGCCGCTCTTGAGCCGACGGCGCTGTCTCTGCATGCCGGTGCGAAATGACCGATCATCTTCGAAATCTTCCTTTCTGAAATGCAGCTCACACACAGCGGAATAGTCCTGATCCCACTCAGCCCGGTCACGGTGACCCATGGCGTCAACCCACTGAGCCCGTAGAGATGTTTCGGTGAGAGAAGCGAATAGGTGGCATGTGAGACATCTCTTGTTCCTCTTGGTTCGTTGGGTTGTAGCCAGAACGGCACTTTTTACCGCTCATTCCCCTCCTCCATTGTTGATGTACCTAGGTATACGTATGTAAGGCTTTGCACCATAATTTTTCAAAAGAAAACACCACGCATTGTGCCCTCTAAATGATCAAATAAAAAGTGAAATACTTTAATTTTTAAGCAAATGAAAGTAACATTGGTAGCTTCGATTTTAAATGTAAACGACAAAACACAAAAATGACGATTTCTTGCAATACACAACACACAAATTATCCATTCAGCTGCACGCGAGAATCCCATTTTGGCGCCGTCGCATAAAAACATTCGGCCTCTTACTGCAACTGCCAATATTCTGTTTCCAATCCAGTACTACTGTTATCTGTGTTACCTATATAATGTTACCTATATAATAGTCTGCCCGTTGGCTTTACGATACATATGCGCGGCTTGATAGTGGGGAAAACATAGCATTTACTGACAAACAACTAAACACAGGAAGATAAATATAGTGATGCAAGTTAAAGGCCCCATAAGACTCGACTGAAATCAGATCAAGCAGCAGAGTATCTAATTGATCCTAGGTTTTCTGGACGAGGAATTGAGGTCCCAGCACTGTTTGCCGGTGTAATCAAATCAAGCTTATGCCATGGCAGTGATATAAATCCGATTTATAATTCTTTATTAGGGAGAGTAAATAGGTCAATAACGGTGCTCAACTCATCCAAGTAATGGTCGAAAAGAGAAAGAAAATGTGCTGAGCTGGGCGATGTCTACCCTTATCTCTCTCATTCATCTGTTAGCTATCTGTACCATCACGGTAGCAGAAGTGATGAACGCTGCTATCAGGACAATGCCACCGCGGGCATGCATTAGTGGTGCTTCTCATGACATCATGGCCGGTAATTACATAGCATCAGGCAGCTTACAACAGATGCTCGTATTTACATCTCGAGCTGCTCATCTGAGCGTCTAAAACGATCAGACAACAGCTGCTTATGCTGATCGCTGCGGTGATTTGGAGGTGATGGGTGGATAGTTAGTTTTACCTGCGGCAGTATCAACCTCCAACTATGTGAGCTGGGCCCGGTGTTGTGTGGGTGAGCGGCCGCTGGCGCGTTGGTATGTTTCCGGTGCTATGTGGAGAGTCTGGCGGCATGAAGTTGGAGGTGTGTGCCGACCGGCGCTCGCTCGGCTGGCCGACAACTCCCTGTCGAGTTGGCACCTAACTGCCCGCCCCGGGCCGTCCCCGGCACACTCCCGTGCTACAGAGCGGCGCGGCGCTCCGGCCAGCCGCTCTCTCCACTTCCGAGCTGCAGCTCAATTGGAGGAGAAGCGCCCCGTATATCGCCTCCAACACGAGTTAGGAATTATCTCGGCAATTTGGCGAAGTGCATCGGTTAAAGTTTTATTATCCAGTCGCGTTTTTTATTATTCTAATGCTGTGCCTTAACGATTTCCTCCATAAACTCGAATTTAATTTCGCTGACATTTAGGAGGGCATTCGAAAGGATCCTCAATCTTGTAAATTTGTTTCGTCCATCGGCTATTCAATTTCCCAAAGAGCACAACCAGCAGTTTGGCTCACTTAGGGATTTTGTCCATTTCCATTTGGGTCCTTGATGTGTTTTAGGACCCGCAGCAGCCATCGCCCGATTGAATAAAACGTCCAGTTTGCATGTAGAAAAGAGAGCACCGCCGGCCGACCCCTGTCGTGAGGGAGGAGGGGAGGGGGGGGAGCGGGCCGGCCAGTGGACTCCATTTGGCCAGAGATCTCAGCCATTTGTTCCCTCTCCTCTCGTGCTGATCAGACCGGGAGAAATATCACCCGTCGATGAAAAAGAAGCCCAGAAGGGGCCTAATGCTCCTTTGACAGGCTGGAAGTTTGTCTCATCTCCGACAATTGTCATTGATTAAAATGTTTAATTTGCAGCGAATGTCAGAGGAAATACTTTTTGTCGCATGTTATCGGGCTTACTAGAACTGCTGTACCCCCGCTGTCTAGGGAATATTTATCTCTTTTAGGTAGCAATTGGACTTAATGGCTCTTCGGAACTTACAATCGATTGGTAGTGCAGACAGTCGATAAGAAGACAAAAGCTTTTAGCCTAAAGGCAATTTATTTGTATTTCAAAGCTACTTCCATTGCCTCTGTCCAGCGGCTCGTTATCATGTACTTTTCTCATTAAGCTGAAATCCTGATGCATTCGTTGCCTTATCCCCTAGTGGATAAATACTTGCCGATCTCGGCACATAGGTGTCCCGCCTTCAACGCAGTCTATCAGTCACACGTCTCAGTTTAACACCTCCCGTAACAGCTCCTCACTGATCCCAGAGGCGGTACGGATCCGGAAGACGGAACCAGGGCCTGAGTTAGGAGAGACGGGACCAGGGCCGGGGCCAGGCGTCGGGTCACCCGGCAGCCCCGGTTAGGTTAGGTTAGTGATCGTCTGTGTACGGGTCTGAAAGGAGTCGCTCGTCTGTGTACGGACGGAGCCGTTCGTCTGTGTACGGACGGAGCCGCTCGTCTGTGTACGGGCCGGGACGGAGTCGTCAGTCTGTGTACGAGCCGGGACGGAGCCGTCTGTCTGTGTACGGACGGAGCCGCTCGTCTGTGTACGGGCCGTACGGGCCGGGACGGCGCGCCGCCAGACCCCGGGGATCTGGCGCAGCCCAATCCTTCTTTGCCGCCTAAATAATGCAGCCGGAGATACATTAAGGTAACTGGAACGTCGCAGCCGGTTAAGTGGCGGCGACCGGCGCGCGGCCCGATGGGTCCGCGAGGGAGGCCGGCGCTGCGCACCAGATGCTGCCCGCCGCGCGAGCCGGGCGACCACTCGGAACAGCCACACCAAACTGTGATCGGCCGTGGTGGGAGGGACGGTGGATGGGAACAGGGGTGGGGAGAGGGGGAGACGGCAGCAGACTCATTTCGGTGATGCATAAACTTATGTAACAGGTGCGTCGAATTGTTGTAGATTTTCGTGGATGTGATCAGGCAATTGACAATCACTTAGCAAGTGCACTTGGGTGCGTTATAAAACCAACTGTTTCAAATTAAGTGGCCCTGTACCAATCCACTTGTTGCTTTGTATCTAGTCGGCCCACGTATACCATGAATGTTCATTGTGCTGACATTTACCATTAACTAATAGTCTTAAGTGCTTTCATGAATTATTGTCGGACAACGTAGCACTTTACCAAATCTATTTTGCCGGGTTTCATTAGATTTCCGTCGGCCGCGTCATCTCCATTACATGTGATTGGACAGTGCTAACGACATACCCTCCCTTTGAAATCGCCGCCAGCCCGGCCTGCAAAGCTTCTCGGAAAGCAATAATTAGAGTGAATCCATCCGGGCCGCCACCGTCTGAATTTTGACCCTATTTTCAAATTACTAATTTCAAAATGGAAGCGCCAGAGTGTACTTTACGAAATTAGAAAGACGGCAGAGCGATCTTGAAAATTAAAGAAGAACGAGGTAAGGCGGGTGCTTTTAACCTTAAGCGAAAAATGTTTTGGGAGAAACATTCCAAGAAAATAAGTCTCAGAAGAAAGGCTTCTGTGGTAATAGGAAACAGAAGTTTGAGTGTGGCGTGAGCAGTACCGATCCCAGAGACTAACGGCGCTTACCGCCCGGCATCTCACACACCAAAAAAACAGAACACGTTCCCGAAACTCAGAGACACTAAATTCTGCAAACCACTCAACTAAGTGAATATCAAATGTCTCCTCATTGTCCGTAAATGAGCGCAAAGCAAACGAGGTGTTTCGATGCGGCCTGACATTGAGCAAGAGTCCACCGTTGGGGCTGGGTTTGGCGTACAACTGTATCTATTGACACAATGGATCGACCACTAACTGCAGGGGAGTGTCGAGCCCGCAGGGGGGGGGGAGCGGTGTTCGGACCCGCTCGATTAACGGATACAGATGCGCCGTCAAAGCCAAACTGGCACCGTCATTGCCATTATTTCGGTGCTTAGTTCCCCTGAACGGATGTAATAGGTGCTCAGTTTCATTACATCATTGGAAGATGATGGCGAACTCAAGAAGATATTCTTCAATGCCAGATGGCCATACTCACTTAGACTTCGTTGTGCTAGTGATTGGTTGACTGCCGATGACACCTTTTGTTGGTACGGATGGTGTTTTCCTCGTCCTGAGAAGTTGTTGCACCCGATTTCTAACAGGCCTCTTTCTTTGTTTCAGGTGCAGCTGTGGCTGTCGTTGGTGGTGTTCTTTCATCGTGCCATAGTCTGCGCGTTTAGCGGCGGCGGACGCGGCGTCCCGCCCGGACCCGCCGTGACATGTGACCTGCCGTGACCTGACGTGACCTCCGGCCCGCCCGCGACCCGTGACGTCATACAGCGTGGCGCCGTTCTTTGTTGCTCAATCGGGGTGCCGTGTCATCTGGTATTTAGCGAGCGCGATTTGTTTGGTGAGCGGAGGTGGGCGCTGGCGACTGAGGGCGTCACTCGATGCTGCTCCCGCGCTCTTTCCCGCTGCTCGCTCGCTCTCTCTCCGAGTCGTTCGGTAGCGTATCTTGCTGTGTATGTGTGCGCCGTGCGGATATGTGTGCGTATGCCCTGGATCCCGACCGGTGGGAGTCGTGGGCTCTGACCCGACTGGTCGGCAGGACGCCGGGTGTCGGACTGAGGGCCGTCCGAGCTATGATGTCACGCCCAAGGCCCGACGCTGGCGCCATGCGGCCCGACGGGAAACTCGGGAATTGACAGCACCTCCTACTGAACCGTTGTAATGCTGACAAGGCCTTGCACTCAATAGCGGCTCCCACTGCTTTGAAATATGACCGCCACTTGGACAAACCCAGCTCCGCCATATAATTGTGAAGCCGTTTGGACATAAACGTGGCTGTATGATGATTTTTAATGATAAAATACTGGCACAGCTCCACCAAAAAACTACGAGTTTTCCAAGCTCGTAAAATTCCAACTTCAGGACAGGAACACGTTGCATTTGTAAGCAACACGTGCATCAATCACCTAATGCAATGGCACGATGGCCCAAAAGGTGCAGCCTGAGCTTCTGGCGGTCCGGCGTTTAAATTGCAATAGCCACAGGTGTAGGTATGCATTTTGAGGCCATCTTTTACCGCGACCGACCAGAGTTTTTGGTGTTTTATGTGGCATTTTACTACTTTTCTGGAAAACTTGACTTCATTTGCTCGTTAAGGTATCTTACAAGGTTAGCATATGGACGAAAATTTTGATTATGTACCTATTTATGCATTACCTAAAAGTTGCATTGTGAGCTGTGACAGCGAAACTTTAATAATGAAACACGCATTATTCAAAGGCTCATGTGTCCTGTAGACCTTCCGTTACACAAACCCTTTAACGTTCATTAGTAGATTTGGATCTTTTCGCCGAAAGACACATATCACTGATAAAACACAAGAACTATCAACAGTGAATGGAACTACAAACAGATTGAACTGGGGCTCAGTGCTACACCACTGTGTTAGCACACAACGGCATTGTGCCCAAAGGCGTCACTGGAATACAGCCAGCAATAACAGCCTAGGCGGGTGACTTTGTAACCAACATTCCACAGACAACGTGCACATTCCCGAGGGTCGGGGGTGAAGGCGGGGTCGGGGAAGGGGAGGGATACCTAGCGGTCTCATGTGTTCGATCAGTGTGCTGTTCGCCGGTGTTCATGTGATCTGTGTGTGCTCTGAGTGTGCTCTGTGGTGTTCCCTGGCTGGCGGTGTTCCGTCGCACTCGGCGAGGCCGAACGCCGCGCCAACAGGCGACATTGTGAGCTTATGGCGAATTTAGCGCACCAAGGTTCGGACAAGGGCAATTAGCAGCCGCCGTCTGCACTGGCCATACCAGTTCCGATGCAATTAGTGTCACGAGAGGCATTTTAAAACAGCTCTGGAGCCCGGAATGCGAGTGCCATTTAATGCATACTTTCCTTAGCTGTCCGGTGTTCACGCGAGTCCTGCAAGCTGTCAGTCTGTTCTGGAGCCGCTGCCGCCGTCAGCGCGAGCCACTGCGCACGGGCACGAGCGCGCCGGTTGTGTCCGCGCCGGGTCTGTGGTTGTTGATGAGGTGTTCTTGTTGTTATATTTAACGCGGGTGGTGTAACAGTATTATTAAGGCTCACTTCAGTGCGTGTGTGACATCACTATATCTCCGAATGGTCCGGTGCGCCAATAAATTGTGCGTCCAGCGAATGCAATTTGACAGGCTGCAAAACGCTAATTACGGGACTACTTGTTATGCTTGGACACCACCGAACACGCCTCAAAACGTGAAACATGTGTGGGTACGTCACGGGTCCAATTTCTTGAACTAATTAAATATAACAGATTAATAGACCATCTGAAGTATGCAATAGGTATTTGATCTAGGTACTTTTGAAAAGGCTCCAGCAATCCCAAATTAACCCGCGCCCCACTGGGGTATGCGCATAACGCGCCCTACGGGGAGGGGGGCTCTTCATAGCCCCCTCCTAACTCCGAAATTACGGGGCCGATCGTCAACGTTCAAACGGTGTCTGATAGCCCCAGAGAAATTGTCGAGCGAAACCTAATTTCATTGACCTCGAGGTCACCGATGACGTCACAGGTCAGGTCAAAGTAAAAATTATTAGCATTTTGGCTTGTTCACATTTTGGGCTCTGGCCGCTGTCTTACAAGTCAGAGCAGGCTCATTTTTGGTTTGCACACTCGTGAACAGATGCTTTAGATACCCTGAGGGTACCAAACTTGTACTTCGATTTTTAGGTCAGGGTCAGGTCAGGTCATCACAGGTCACGGAAATATTATATCATGCGTCGGTCAAGTGACACATGTTTTATGGTCCATTTAGGCCATATATTTCGAATTTGATGTCGTTTGTGTCATTCGAGGTCATTTTGAGTTGAATTTAGCTTAGGTCAGGTCACTTTCAGGTAAAAAAGGTCAAATTTTGAAGTTTAAATTTTTAACAAAAAAGGTGTCTATTGGACGCAGTTTGAGCTCAGAAACACGATGGCGGTATTTGTATTGGTGTACGATGTCAAAAACTTACTGAAAAAATGATTTGAAGAAAAAAAAATATTATTGTATTTTTTTTGCAATAATGCGATAACTTGGCCATTTTTTAATATATTTAGCTAAAACTTGCTATAGTAAGTCATAAGCATGTGTTCTATCATACATATGCTTTTTTCGAAAAGTCAAAAAGTTTTGAAATAGAAATAAAAGTATACCTAAATTTTGAACTTTATTATGTATAATTTTCAAAATTTTCAAGATTTTGAAAATCCGAGATGGCAGTTTGATAGCGCAGTCTATTCTGAGTCCTCTCATGCAAAGAAAAATTGGATCTAGCTTAAAAACTGAGCTCTTGGGAGCGATTGCCGTGGTTCAATATTTTGCGTCGAAATCGGCCGAACATGACGTTACTCTAACTTCATTTCCGGCCGACCTATGGTAGCTAGGAAGTTCATATTTTGACAAAGGGTGTCAAATTGATGCAGCCGAAGGTACTGAAAGTTTGGCGTCGATACGTCATGCGGTTTGGAAGTTATTGCAGAGAAACGAGATGGGGGGGGGGGGGGTTATGAATAGCCCCGCCCCCAGTGGGGCGCGGGTTAAAACAAAACAGAGGAGTCACTTTTTATATTATATCAAGCAATTATGTACGCATACAGAAAAGACACTGACACTTCTGTACATCTGATTACAACTGGAAGTAATAACAGCCAATTACCGACATTCTAACTAAAAGATAGACACCAGCGAGCTCTCTAAGAACGCAAACTGATGGACACGGTAGGCGATCCGGCCGGTCTAGCCTCGCGAAACCTCAAAGACACTTTTTTTTTCCGAAAATCCGAAAATAAAAAATCCGAAAAATTTCGAAAATCCGAAAATTGGAAGACAACGCATAATAGTCGACAGTAAGTTCATCAAAGATTACGATTAGTGCATTTGCATGGCGGCTCAGGAAACATCTTTTCGTAGACAAAAGTATCTTTAAAGACAGCGTTCCGTAACACTTCATAAGGATGTGGGTTGAACATCCATTTTGCATGGAAAGTGGAATTAAGATGTTGAGACGATTCCGTCATAAAAAGCAAGTAGACAAAATCAGTTCAAATGTCTTATACATAATTAGGTTAACTTTTTATATATTTTTTTTTTCTGCCGCCGAACATTACGTTTACTGAATTTACGAAGCCCAGCAAAAAAAGTATTACGCGGAAGAACTGAAGTCCAGGTGTATTCACGCGCATTGCGATTGTTCTGACTCCAGCTCCCAGTCCAGGCTCCGCGTCTCCGTGGTCTGCGGCGCTGGATGAAATCAACTAGGTCTCCTTTTATGGAGGCATTGTCCCAATGTCGCTGGCTGGTTTTTGCCTGCGAATATGCGCCGTGTTAAAATGGACTGGCTTTCGGAATGGAAAGGCAAAGGAAAGTTATCGTCCATAGAAACATGCAAAAATTGCTTTTTTTTTTGTCAAACATTATTTGATATAGAATATGTTCTTCCTACATCCAAATATACAAAAAAAAAAATATAAAAAGATTTATTTCATTTTCTGATCATTTAGGCACCAAAAAATCATAAATCCATTGCAAAAAACTAATTTGAGGAAAGCGAACAATTCCCTTTAACCCGCGCCCCGTAGGGCTATCGGTGGACCCTACCGCCCGTAGGGGAGGAGCCGTTTCGGCCCCCCCCCTAAGATCTCGGAAATTTACCGGCCGATTTTAAAATTCAAACGGTGTTCGATAGCCCCACCGGGGAACTACCTTGTGACCAAATTTCATTGACCTAGGTCAAACCGATGACGTCACAGGTCAGGTCAAAGGTCGGATTTTCACCGTTCACAGGCATTTCAAGAAATGTGTTGTGAAATCGAGTAAATTGGTAATTTATTGAAAACCATCGATGGTACATTGTTCGTCAAACACATACTTTGCTATCTGAGGTCACTGATACCAGGTCAGGTCACAGCGAGGTCAGGTGACCGGGGGTCACAATATGAAAGTGTCGTGTGATACATGTTTTATGGTCCATTTTACATGACAAATGCGATTATGTGGGTTAGGCAGCCTTTGGGGCCAGCCTAGGTCACGTTTTGGTGAAGGTCAGGTCAAGGTCAGGTCAAATTAGGTCAAATTTCAAAGTTGATATTTTGCATAAAATGGGTATCGATTCGATGCAGCTCGTTACGGGAAGTCTAATGGTGGTCTTTGTTTTGCTCTACGATGTCTAGAATTGCCAAAAATTGAGTTTGAAAATTTGACGTCATCATTTTTGAACAGTTTTTTTTTTCGCTATAACTTGACCAAAAAACGAGGTATTGATCTGAAATTTAGTATGTGTATAGAAGACGGTGGGTACTATCACATATTTTCCGTTTTTTCGAAACTCAAAAAACTTTTTGGATTTTTTTGGCAAATATATAAAAAAATGCTTTTTTGATTTTTGGGGGTCAAAACTCAAAAAAATTAAAAATCCGAGATAGCAGTTTTGTAGCACTGTCAATTCTACACCTTTAAGTCTTACTCATTTTTCTGTATCTTCAAAGCTGTAGGCCTGACAGGTCTTCTCGCGAAGGTCTTTTTCGGTCGAAAATGACAGAACATGACGTCATTCTGACGTCATTTGTGGCCAACCTATCATAGCCTCTGGAAAAAAATTTAGTCACAATGTGTAAAATTGATGCCCGGAGGGGTCCTGAAAGTTTGGTGGCGATATCTCCAGCCTTTTAGGAGATATCGACGGAAAAGGACAGGGAGGGGCCGTTTCGGCCCCCCCCCCCCCTACGGGGTGCGGGAAAACGTACCTCTCGGACAATTATTAATTAGCGCAGATGCATGGACGGGTACCTAAATACGCATTACACACATATTTGGTATTGAGCATCGGCCGCAAATTTGCTTGTAATGCGAATTATCTTTGGTCAATGCTCTTATATCTGGGCCCTGGGCTAAGTACCTAAAAGCAAAACTCACTTCGCAATGAAATGGAAATGGAAAAATGGAATGGAAAAAATGGAAAAATGGAATGGAAAACAACTGAGCTCTCAACTTCTAGGCACTGCAATAAACAAATGCACCCGTTACGTAACATTCTTGGAACCATTGTCCTGTGTCATTCATTTCCCCTGTATCTTCCCTTGAGTCGTCTTGGCCTTATCCCGACTGAGACGCAGCTCAGCCGCCAATCGGCGTCTGGAGGGCACGGAGGGCACGACCAGCCGCTGGGCTGTCGCGTGCAGCGAGTTCGGGGAACAGCCACCGCGCCTCCGGGGAAGAAGGTGAGACCACGACATGAGGCTAGCTGCTCGACCAGTGATCGCTGTTGTGTTTTCACTGAGTCTGCCTCCAGGGCCGTCGAAACATGACAAACAAATCTACTAATGCCATGCTTGTGTTTAAAACGCTCAAGGCAAAACGATGCGCAAGTCTTGCTATCCCATCACTGCGACTGATCCTTTGGCACCTACGTAATCACCGAAAGTGAACTACCTACACCCAGCGTACCCACTACCCATTTTACCTACAGATACCTACCCCTTAAAAGCCAGCACTTAACCCGACTAGTTAACTCAAACTGTTGACCAGTTAACAAGTTAGATAATTAATTCCCAGACATCGTAGTTCTACTTTGGGCAGCTTACTCCAGAAAAATCACCGCCAAACAAAATATGCTATCAACACATTTGTCTTCTCAAGACGCATCGAGCGATACACTTTTTAAGATAAATGTCAAAGACGCCCTCATACGACCAGGTTATATGGATAGCCTGGACATCACATACACCTTTTTTTTCGAACTACTCCGCCACCCATGATCAGGTGACCAGGAGTGCCCCCGCCCTCAAACCCAGCGACTAGCAGAACCTTACGTTAACACCAGATAAAATAAACTGATAAGTCGCGGCACTCCCTGCTAAGAAAGGAAATAAAACTAAAAAAAGCAAATGAGAGAAGGGGTAGCGGGTTTAGGCGGAGACAAGAACAGAATGCGAAAGTAGCCACTGCTGAAACCAGACAGATGACTGTTCTCTACTACGATACCGAAAGCAACTTTCACTCAGAAGGGCATGCATTCATCTAGAGTAGAAAAAACAATCGCTCATTCACACGTCATGCAAACATACGTGGGGATTCGCTCTGGTCAAAAATTCGGCCGGTCAATGCTGAGGGCAGAAAAGCCTTTCCAGCTAAGCGAA